ATTTATTTATTTTATTTATTTTTTATACTTTTATTTATTTTTTATTTATCCATACATATTTCTTTACTTTATTTTATTTCTCCATACTTATTTTTCCGAATTTTACTCTCTGCCACTGTAAATACAAGATCACATCGATCACGAATAACGATTCAATAAATAAGTTCTTCACTCGTTCCACTTATCGCAACGCTCATGCTAGTGGAACGGGTGATAGCATCATTGCGAGCGTGAGTGTTACGAGCGTTATGTGGAACGCACTCAATATGATAACATAATTACTCAGAGCAATTACAATAATACTAAAAATAAAGTCCAATAGATCTAAATGGGTATTTTCCAGACAGACAAAATTCGCAATTTCTAGTTGCTAGCAGTTGCTGTTGTTAGTAATATTGAATTATTATCTCTGAGTGACTCTATATTCACTTGTAGCACAATAGTATTAACTACATATACTTCCTGCTTATCATGCTTTCCCCTTCTATGCTTTCTATTACATATATAAATCAATGTCATTTAATGTCTCTGTAGACACTGTGCATCTCCAGAAGCTGTACGCAGAAATTGCAAGATGAAGATAGCCAGCTTCGCGGGAATTTTATTGTTCCTTGAAGCTTACTCGCTCGTTAATGCAATTAACAAACAGAATCCTGGCACTCTTAACAATAGCTATCCTGTGATAGTGATCACCTGGGATTACAAAGATGCAATGGAAAAAGGTATATTGAAATATCTAACTGTATCAACTTGTTAAGAGTGAAAGATATTTAGAGTCTCTGCTAATTTAAAGACACTGTTAATTATTATTTAAGCATGGGATGTAATACATAATCAGAAGAGAAGTGCTCTAGATGCGATAGAAGAAGGATGTTCTCTGTGCGAGGAGCAGCAATGCAGGAAGACTGTGGGATTTGGCGGCAGTCCGGATGAATCTGGAGAAACTACGCTAGATGCTATAATTATGGATGGGTAAAGGCAATTGAAGCAACAAAAAAATAGCTTTCTTGTTTCATTAAATAATACTACATTCAAGAAAGGTATTCTTTTTGATAGAACAACGATGGATGTAGGAGGAGTAGGAGGACTGCGGAATGTGAAGAATGCCATTTCGGTTGCTCGCAAAGTGCTGGAACACACAAAGCATTCCTTATTGGTTGGGAGCTTGGCAACAGATTTTGCTGTGAATATGGGATTCAAGCAGGAATCTTTGCAAACAGACGAGTCCAAGGAGATGTGGACACAGTGGAAGACAAACAAATGTCAACCCAACTTTTGGAAGGTATTGAAAGAGAAGTTATGTTCTTTCAGCACATTTCATCTTATGATTATTTCTTAGATATTCTTGCTGTATCTAGAATGTTGTACCGAATCCAATAAGTAGCTGTGGACCATATCGCCCGAACAACATAGAAGATGACGAAAACGTGCTAACAGGAAACGAGGAAAATCATGACACGATCGGTATACTCGCGATAGACTCACAGAAACGAGTAGCAGCTGGAACATCCACGAATGGCGCCAAGTATAAAATACCAGGACGCGTTGGGGATTCGCCTATCGCAGGAGCTGGCGCATATGCCGATCAGGACGTCGGTGCAGCTGCCGGTACCGGCGACGGAGATATTATGATGCGATTTTTGCCGAGGTAACATTATACGTATTAATTGATGCCCTTCAGCGAAAGACACAGTGTAATGCAGTGATTATTTCATCTTTGTTTAACATTAGCAAACAAGGATGTAATGAGTCACTATTGTACTGTGTCATTTGTGTCTTTTGCTGGAAACCCAATATAAATATATATTTAATTGACACTATATTCTTATAATTATGTATAATTTTGTACTTCGATTGCGAATTATATTAATATACATGGTTTCTGTCTTTTATATATCAGTGTATTTTTATACTTTAACTGCGACTAATTTATGATGATATACTTATAATGATGTACTTTGTCTTTTTGTAATTCGAATTTTATTTAGTTATATTTTATGTTATTAATTTAGAATATGATCGATTTCCACAAGACAAGATTTGTAACAGAAACTTTTGCAAATGACTAATATTTCGAATCAATAAATCAAGGTTGCACTTTTGGCGATCGGGAATTTCAAGACACAATAAATTAATACAATGGATCTGAACAGACAGTAAATTTTTAATCTCTTCAAAATCTTTGTTTTTAAAGAATGTCACTTGTTTAAAATTCATGTTTATTTTCAACACATTGATAATGACCCGATTGGCGTTGAAACATATGTATGTATTGTTTGAATATTAAAAGGTTATTACTTGGCTCGTAGCCCTTCTATTTTATTATTATTATTTTAATTTTATTGAGCCATTTTATTACTTATATATTATAAATATATATTTTTTAGGTACATTTTAATGAACTAAAATATAAATTTGTATGCATTCTATTTTGGTTTTAATTTTCCTACTTTAATTTTAAATTTGTTCAATAAATAAAGTTAATGTCTAGTATAACATGTAGTATCTTAGCAATACAATTGTTGAAATTAAATTGAGTACTTTTTGCAGCTTTCTAGCGGTAGAAGAAATGCGTAATGGTGCACCGCCAAACATTGCTGCTAAGAAGGCGATAAGCAGAATCGCTCAGCATTATCCTAACTTCTTCGGCGGGGTGATCGCGTTGAACAACAAAGGAGAATACGGAGCGGCGTGTAACGGAATGTTGGGGTTTCCTTATTATGCTGCAAATCCTACTTTAGGCCCTAAGTTATATTTCGTTCAATGCAGCAATTATCCGCAATATGATGGATATGACGAAACTTGTTAATTTGCATATCTGTTCAAACTTCAAAGTGATAATTATTCAAGTTTATTTACCTTCATAAAATAAAAGAACAGAGGCTTAAGAATTAATTTGAGATATAATCTTGTTATTCATGAATTTTAAACTACATTAAACTTGACATAGAAAATATACGAAAAAATGTTGATATAATATATAAATATCAGTTGTCAACAAAAAAGTCGCACCCGAGGTCGCACCAGTCGATAATTGTTTCATAACTTTGAGTTAAGAACAAATTAAAGACCTTTTACAAGAGATGTTAATTATAACAGAATTTAAAAAGTTTCACATTACTTTTTCTCTATTTATATTATGAATTAGTTATCTAAATTCTGGTTCCATACGATCATCTTTGGTAGTACTTTGATGCGCTAATATCTTTTTGGATATTTTGTACGATTGAACACGTATAGGCTCTATATAGAAAAAACACGCAGTCTAGATTGGTCTAGATGTCTAGGTTTGACCTATTGAAGCGATCTATTACAGTTTTATTATGTTTTTTACATGTATTAAACCTTAAATTCGTTAAAATGGGTAGATCGGGCAAACGATAAAGTACGAATTTTGCAAGTAACAAGTTGGAGACAGTAATTGAAATCATAGCGTTGGTGAGAGTAATTGATTTCAATAAAGCAAGGAAGTCGTGATACAATCGGTATAGTCGTAATAGACGCACAGAGACGTAAGGTAGCCGTCCACAAATGGTGTCAACCATAAGATATCTGGTTGTGTCGGGAATTCTCCTGTTGTAGGAGGCGGTGCATATGCTGATCAGGATGTTGGTACCGGTGATGAAGATATTATGATGTGATTTTTGCTGAGGTGACATTATATTTTAATACAAACTTTTATTTTCCAAATATATTTTAATAAACTAAAATATAAGTTTATACATTTTATTTTGATTTTAATCCTTTCTTACTTTAATTTTTAAAATTTATATAGTAACTAAAAATTGATATCTAGTGTAACATATAGTATCTTAGCAATACAGTTGTCGAAATTAAATTGAATATTCTTTACAGTTTCCTAGCAGTGGAGGAAATGCGTCGTGGAGTACAGCCGTCGCAAGTTGCTAGTAACGCGATTCTGAGAATTTCAACTATCATTATTCTAACTTTTTCGGTGGGATAGTCACGTTGAACAAACTGAGAGAATACGGAGCAGCAGGTAACGGAGAGGATATATTTCCTTACACCATCACAAGTTCTACTTTAAGCCCTAGAGCTACTTTCAGTTCCATGCAATAATCCGCAGTGTTATAAGAATGATACTTGTCAAATTTTTCAATGATACTAAATAATGTACAGTACTCATTGTGAGCACTCTAATGATTATATAATGTAAATATATTCTAAAATTTACAAAAATTCGATAAATAAAATAAAATATAGAAAAATTTTTTGTTCTGTATGTACCTATGCACATCCATTTTGAACATCGCGATTTAACACGGATTCGTCAGTAATGATATGTGTACAAAGTGTTAATACGATTTTCTTATTTTATGTGTGCAATATGATCGTGTGTGCAACGTGCTGTGTGGAGTACAGTCGTGTGAGCAATGTAATGTGTGCAATGTGGTGTGCAATGTGGTGTGCAATGTGGTGTGCAATATGGTTGTATGCAAACAAAACTGTAAGCAATCATTTTGTAAGCAAATGGAACCTTGAATGAACGATGTGTGACAGACTTTTTTTATCATAAAATATTAATATATAGTATATAATACATTCAAATATATACTAAACACATTATTAATATGAATAAGAAATGCCCTAAGTTATTTGTATATAATGCTGTAAAACAGAAATAATAATTAATATACAAATATAAATTAATGCCAACAAAACAGGAATAAAATCATAATAAACAACGTGTACATTGAATAAAATAAATCACGTTATTCGGCCACTCCAAATAAACCATATTGTATCTAACTTTTGTTATTAAAGTACTAGTTATTGCAGATATTAGTTGCTTTCTATTTACACCGATTCTCAGATAATTCTCACTTGTGACGTCATAACTCAGTTGAACGCACCTTCCTTTTGCATTCTGACAAGTGAGATTCAACCGAGTTTTTATCTATAATCTGCATAAGATCGAGAGTATGCTTTAGTGAGTTTCGTAAACTCACTTCAAAGTGATTATGAACCTGTGTTGACATGTGATAACTTTTTACTAAAGTAAGCAAGTAGTGACGCCATTGATCTGAGTATAAAATACTCAACTCACTTCAGACTCAGTTTCACTTGTGTGTAAATGGAAAACAACTATAGTTATTCCCTGATAAATATAATTTCATGATTTTAGCTTTGATTGGCTATATTATATTTGTTTTAATTATTAATTTTGTTAAACACAAAAGGATATACTTGATACATTAATTTTTATAGTCCACATTCTTCAGTTACTATGTTCTATTTATCGCATGCCAATTTTCCAAGAAACGCAAATGTAGCATTCGATTTTAACACACTTTCAATACATTATTACGCAAAAATGATAATGCTATATTAATACTTTTCAAACTAAATATTTCCTTAGCGTTTATAGATTATATAATATAGATTATATTTATTTTATCAATATAGCTTATATTTATAAAAAAGATAATTTGATTCTTATGATCTTATTACGATAATCGCTTATCAGAATTATTTTTTTCTTTGATAAATCCTCCCAACTAAATATGGAGATGCTACTTTTCTGTAAAACGCTTTCATAGCCACACCAGAATTCATCATGATGCTGTCTATTCAATTGAATCTGAATCTGTAAAAAAATGATGAATATATAAAAAGAGTACTTGGTGTAATTAATTTTGTAAAATATTTTAATTATACATTTCATTCGATTACTAATTATTATTATTCTTTTCAGAGCTGTTGCAAGCAAGAGCATAAATTGTACAAAAGTATTGTATTTTAAGGGAGGGGTCAAATTAAATTTTAAATATCTACTCTGTATTCCTTATAATATCAATTGCGTGTGCTCGCTTCTGTCAGATTTAATTTCTTTCAAAACATGTACTGTATATCAATTTAAAAAAACTAAAAAAAAAATATAATTATAAAATTATTAAAATTATTAAAAATAATTATAAAATCTGTAAAAGAGTTGTTTATTTCTTGGTGTTACTAAAATATTTCAGTACGTACAGTGCTACAGCAAACAATTTTAGCACCGTAACACATCTTATAATCATATAAAACAGATATTAATTAAAAAATTCTTCAATCATCATGTATCTTTTTCCACATGGTACAAAACGTGAAATGTGAAAAATTTTTCTAGCTTCAATGAAAGAGAATTTAATTTTTCACATTTCTGGGGTAGAGAAAAAGTTACATAATCTGGAGACACTGGTAATGTCTCGGCGCTAAGCCGCGCGCAGAGACACTGCCGTGCCTCCTTTACGCGAGATTAATCTTCACGTGATATAAATTTGTGCGATGTAAACAAAGCGAATAATTACCAGCATCATTGCTTTAATTTCTTCTCCTAATTTCTCCTCCTTCGTTTGGATGGTGGAGTCGAGATCGAAGGATTCTGCGCCGTAGTGTTTCGTATTTTACTTTGTTCTGTTATAATCTCATTATCTCTCAAAGTGCTTGGTCCAGGACTGTATTTACATATCATTAAAAAAAATAGAAATTATTACGTTTTATTAAACAACAGAAAATATTATGGAATACTTAGTATTTTAATTAGAAGTACGTATTTTTTTTACTCAATTATTACATCAAAATTGTCATTTTTAAGATTCAGTATAGATATCAATCCTTTAACATTTATAAAATACATATAAATTGGTAATTTGTACTTTTATGTTCTAAGAAATATAGAACTAGAAAAAGTACTCCGTGAGCGATTAGTTTATAAATAATATAAAACAGTATAATAATATCATACAAATGATTATGTTTCCTCATAATATAATATAAATATTTTTATTGAAAAATTAATATTCGTTTGTTATCAAATATAAGACAAGTGAATAATTACTTATTAGGGGCGCGTTCTTCCTGATTCTCGAGTAATTGCCAGATAAAGTTTTGCCATGTTTCTTCTATATTTTTTACTGTGTCTCCTATTCTCAATTTTTGTCGTAGATTTTTTAATTGTCTCTTCTTCCGTTTTATTCCCAAACTAGATAAAGAAAAAAATCCAATATACTAATATTGCATTATATACGTATTATAATTACATATCTATGTATAATATATCGGAAATTATTTTATAATTATGTTTCTTCTTATTGTCAAAATAATAAAATGGAAAGTAATTTAAACGAATTCTAGTCGTAATATTGTCGCTATTTTCAAATTATTATGAAATTATAGAAACAAAACGAGTGAAATAAAATCGACTTTCGCCCATTTTGGCAAGTATAAACTCTACTTTTTTTCATACCTACTATGAAATCCTGTGTGCCAATGTAAAAGTAATGGGATCAGTTTTGTTTTAATGTTTTCTTCCAAGTCCATTTTTGCATTACATTTGAAGCACTTTGCCATGCTTCCATCTATCTGGTACTTATTTAATACTTGACGTACTTCTCTTTTTTGTATTACGTCTTTATATATGTTAGATTTAGGTCCATGATACATTTCCCAATGGTTTCTTATAAGGTAATCACCGCCATTGTATACAACATTTTCTAAACAAATTATACATTGTCCTACAAAATCTGACACATACGTCATTTTATAATCCCTCATTAGCTTAGGTCGGATGCATTTTTTTTCAATATTATCCACAAGTTTACTTGCAGAATATGTTTTTTTAATTTCTGAATCATGACTTCTCCGTCTTTTTAATTTTTCTTCTGCTTTTTGTAGTTCTGTTTGTATGGACACTTTATTTGGTCGATCAGGAGCAATTCTATAAAATTCATAATATTGTTTAATAGTGAGTTTAATTATTGTTTTATACCAGCTATTATACTTAATACGTTCCGTGCCATGCTAAATTTAGATGACTTTTCCACTATGATGTGTGGATTATCGGTGACCGGCATGGAATGTATGTATCAATAAAATATTAATCACATAATAATGTTGATAAAAATATAAATATTTAATAAAATAAATAGAAATATTTAATAAAAATTAATATCCATTACATGTAATGGGAGCAAATTTCTTTTTTTTTTAACGATCGGAGGAAACTATAAATTTCAAGCCGGAAGACATCAATGACGTCTACTTATGATAAAAAATATCTTTTTCTTCTAAGAGCACTTATATATCAGGGTATTTATATAACATCAATTTACAATTTCATGAAAATACATCTTTGCAATTACAATTCTAATCATGATATCATTTATGTTTTTCGAATTATTATGAAATTGTTGAAACAAAACAAACAGAATGCATAAAATCTTATTTCCATGCGTTATGGGAGATAAAAAAATTTTTTTTCATACTTATAATGATTGTTCCAGTGAGTACTTAAGGACATCAGTTCAGCAGGATCTGATTCTAAGCCTTCCAAGGGTAAATATTTCCAACAAAATGAGCATTTCGCTGTAGTATTTAATATGAAGTAATTCATCAGTATTTGCCGTCCAATTTCTATACTCGTTACTTTTCTAAATTTTTCTCTGTGTGTATGATACATGACCAAATGACTCAGTAAAGGGAAAGCATTACTGTTATGACAAATAGTCATTCTTCGACAACTACCCACATGACATATTCCAATTTCACATTGTGATAAACGCTTAATATCAAAACATTCCTCTAGAAGTTCACGATGTCGGTATTTGGTTAGTTCTGATATATGATGCTTTTCGTATAAATGTAATATCATTAGATTATGATCATCGAAGAAAACATCATATGAATCTTTTATACAGCATTCACATTTCAAATAAACACCATCAGATTTTACAATTTTTTTGCAATGCTTCATTAACCATGTGGCTGGCTTTCGATTCATTTTCGTTACGATCGTTTTTTGGGGAGCCTGAGTACAACAGAGTACGGTCAGAGTCTCACTTGGTCTCACTACAATCAACAAATTGCTACAACTGCTTTCAAAACATTTAATTGACTAATCACTCATCACATGGTAGACTATTCAGCAAACAAGCGTCATGCAAGCCGCAAGCGTCGAGCGTCGAGCGAGCATTTTGGAGCATCTGCGCAGAAAACTCTGTAGATCTGTTCTGTTTCAACTCCAAGTTCTGAACTGGTACAATAAGTTAAAGTGAGACAGAATTCTTCGAAAAAGAACATACTTTCTGACTCCGAGAAAGAAAGGACACGCAAACGAGTTAGTCGGACAGAGCCATCTACCGACGAAA